CTCTTCACCCTCAACCCCCCGTGGGCCACAGGGGGGGGGGGGGGGGGGGGAACCATCACAAAAAAAAACAACTTTCCAACAAAGTGCTGTTATTACTGTACTCAGACAAAAGAAGCTGCACACACCACATTGGTTTCATTTCACAGACCCTCAAGGGGAGATCAGAGCAACAGAGATCCCCTGCAACAAGAGAACCAGTGCATCAAGTTCCAACAGAAGCGGACCTGCAGCAATTTGACCACAATTTCTTCATGTGCAAGAAACAGCAAAACGCTACGGATTCCTTACAACTTCTCCTGTTACAACTAAAGCAGCAGGAGCACCAAGGAACACAGATAAAACCACCAAAAACACCTGCATGAATTTGAACATGCCTTTTGCAATTTGAGTGCCTACACCCTGACTTGCAGCAAAAAAACCCCCAACAACCCAAGAGTGCGTGCAGATTGACTGAATTATTTTCACATAAGCCTGTGTGAATAGAAGCTTAAGACAGAATATCAGTTTTTCATTACGGGTATGAGAAACCTTAGCTTTCCCTCTCAGCATTCATGACTTTAACCACACCACTAGGCCAAAACATCTCTAACAGCCCTATCAATCACGATCCCAAGATGCATTCTACATAAACAACAGCTACAACATATCTGACATATTGACTTGTACTTTCCTTGCCACTGGGGAAATACAAAGCAGGACAGCAACTTCCGTATCCATTTTGCTAAGGATCTAGTTAACACCATTTAGACTTAATAGTTCTGTGCTGAAAAAAAACCCAATTTTTAAAGATCTGAGATAGTATTATTGAGCATCTCTTGATAAAGATTGTCAATATGTAATGTTTTCTACCTAAGAGAAATATCTATGCAAGCTTCATTACTCTGATCCTGTAACATGGAAACTCCAACTCAGAAACAGATTAAGACCTAAAGTCCTATCTTTTGTTTCTATTCAAAATCTCAGCACCAAAAAAAATACCCTTGCACTTCCTTCTTCAGCATAACTCTTTCTTTTCTTCCAGGAAGATCTTGACCTGCTGTATTTTGAGAACCTCCTAGTCTTATCTCACACCATGATACCAACAAGAAGCATGTGTAGGAGCCTGGAGGTGGAGCAACCTGGTAAAAAACAAGTTGTCGAGAAAGACAGTTTTGGAGAGCTGTGTCTGTGCAGCCACTTCTCCAAAGCTGTTAGATGTAAAATAACTGTTTTAACATCTGTGTGACTCTGGACTAATACAGTATCTCCTGTCCCTCAACTGAGCCCTGAGAGGCAGGATATATTGAATACGCCTCACAAACAGGCAAATGAAATCATATTAGAGTCTCTTGCTAGAGACTAAGAGGTATATAAAGAGAAAAAAGCACTCTGCTAGGGCTAGATATATCTTTCTGAGCGGTGCTGAAGCCAAGACACTGGGGTTCATGGATGTTTAGTTTGACCGTCTTGTGTTTACATGGCTTCCAGATTAGAGCTGGCTTGGAGGCAGCCGTATCAGAACACAGGCAAAGCAGACGTGACTGTCCACATCCGAGCACATACCGTGCAATGGGTGGTCTCCATTACGTGCCACTACAGCTCACAGCCCCCTTTTTCACATTTCCTCAAATCTTTGTGGTTGCTTCACCTGTTCTTCCCTCCACTCACCCACTGACATCATATGACTCCTGGCATATCATCTACTGTTTCTTGCACTCCGCCTCCTGTCCTCCCAAACTCCTTTGGACTTTTGGAGCTCTTGTAAGAAACAATGATGTCAAGACACTGAGTGAAAGAAAATTTAAGCAAAAAGAAAAAAAATAATTGATAGTAAAGATGAAAGATCAAGACTGTAATAAACTTCCTCAAAAAGTGCTGAAAGCCACATGCTTTGTGGTTTTTAGAATAAGGCTGGACAACTTTAAGGAGCACATATCAGAACAAAGAGTCTCAGTAACTCCTACAAGAAGAAAGAGAGAAAAAAAGATTTTTTTTTCTTCAATTTCTACTCATTTGACTACTAAAATTAGCCATACTGTAATGAACAATTACATAATTTAAGATATTGTAATTATGGTTTCAAGCTGAACACTACTCTTACAAAAAATCCCTTGATATGAATGGGACTACATGCTCTTCTCACCATTAGACACCCAACCACACTGAAATAAGAACATCCAGTTTTTTGAATCTTTTCAACTATTAGATACAGAAATATTTCAAGTGAAACTGTTTTTCTCCAAGATGAAGATGCCAGAAATAGAGTCAAGATTCTGGCTCACTTCCAGTCCTACTGGTAGGTCTACAAGTCTGCTGCCTCCTTCAGACACAGGCTTCTTAACGTTTCTTGCAGCAAGCAGTTGTTCTTTCTTTTGAAGGTCTTCATTCCATGATCCATGCCTGTCATTGCTCTTTCAGGCCACATGTCAGCAAGTCTCTGCTCTTATTTTTTTGTGCTTTTTGCAGCATACAGCTGTCCAAAACTTGAGACCAAAGGTTTGTTGATTCCCAAACCAAACATAAACTGGGAAAAAGGGAAGAGAAAGATGCAGACTGAAACAGCTCTGGGAT